TTTACTAATATCCTTCTTCTAGTCTCAATCATTTTTCATTAATGTGAAATGATTGCGCTATCGTTGGCATTGTTTTAATTTCAGAATTAAAAGGAAGCTGATAAAGAACAAAAGTGAATTGTATAGGTTAGAGGGGAGGAGATCATAACAGGAAATGTGAAGTGATTGCGTCGAAATCTTCATGAATTAGTTTATTTTATACGAAGTCGTAGCTCATTAGAATATATATCGGTCGAGCTTATGCGAAAATTCTTCATAGTTGATAAAAGAAATGGCTGAAATTTTCATATAAATTCGGGAAGTTCTGCTCTCATGACTAATACATAAACACTGGGAAGATTTCGCAACGCATAGGCGAGAGTGCTTAAATTGTGCTGAATTTTTCAAAAAAAAAAACAGTTCTTCCTAAGGTTTGCGGGTCCAAAAATGACCAGCGGCCGTCTGCGACAGTACCCCGCTGGGGATGGGTCTTCACCATTGAAGATTCATCTTCGGCCGGGACAGGTCCCCGTCCCTTCGGCGACAAGTCCTTGTCCTCGAGAGGGACAAGTAACTATTCCCAGCTCAGGATGAATTTCAAACTTCTGGGACACACACGGCCGGGTACGCTACATATGGCTCCAGTTCTTCCAGTATTGAGATTATGTTTCAAAGTAGTCGTTTGGTCAACAATGGGAGGGAGCAATGTGCCAGCAAGAGGAGGAAACAGAGGGAAAATTTGATGAAAAGGTTATCCGTACGACCTCTACCAAGCAGTTGTCCTGCTATCATTCCTAAGATCTAGGGTTTTACTTTATAAGCGTAACCTGTCGCGTTCTGTTACATTAATAAATTATTTGTTACCTTCATCTTTAAGGTAAGTAGTGTTTGTGGTGCAGTCGATTGTAATTTACTGTAGAAATTGTAAATAGAAGCTAGATACTAGCTCACGGCTTTTCGTTGTTTTTTGCTCTATAGAGGAAAGTAAAAACAAAAATTATTTCGTTACTGAAAAATGCCTTTGCTGGTCCGTTCTTTTTTTTTGCGAAAATATAAACCGCTCTTATTTGTGAAATTTTCGTGTTGTTGTATCCGCGAGAGAATTTTTCACGAGTATAGTCTCACTAGCTTTTTTCTGATATCCCTCATTCGTTGGCTGTGCTGGTGAGCAGAGAGAGCATCGTGCGCCGTGGTGTTTTCGGATGGCCACTTGCAGCGATTTGTCTTCCCTCCCATTGACCCTATTCCGGTAGCGCCTCTACGCAGGCAACAAGTCAGGTTCCTCATTGATTTATTGATTTCCAAACTTTGTCATGAATTCTCATTCGTTGTTTTCAATGTCTTTACCTGAAATGTTCTCAAGTTGACCCCCAATCAACTCAGTTTTGCTTATTAATTTTCCAACATTTGCAGCTATTTTCTCATTTTTTGATTGTCAGGTTTTTTAAGTTTCCCCTACCCGATCAATTAGCTCAGAAGGGAGAGTATCTGTTAATGTCTTGCTCCTTAATTTTCTAAGATGGTTCTCAGGCGAAAGTGTTCGTGCTGTTGGTTTAGGGATCACCTCGACCTTGTCTGTTCATGCGAATTATGACCTAATTGTTTGCCAAGGCGGACGTCATTGTAGTGAGGTTATTAGTGAGGGCATGTCGAAGACGATTATTGGATGTGCACCATCTAATGGATATGGAACTAATGGAACCTGCCTATATCAAAACTGTTTCATAGCAATCTGCATAGAACTCGTTCTTGCGAAAAACTGCTACTACATGGTCGTTCTGGTGAGAGGACTTCAATCCTCTTTTGGGCTCTAGCTGGTTTTCGCATGTCCACTTGTCTAGGAGTTTTCTGCGATTGGCCCTATGAGGCGGTTTTCTGTGATATGAATCCATTCACAAATGGTATTCAAGGAACTCATACAAAGAAATGAAAGGCAAATAGATTTGCAATGGCATGGGGAGACATCGCGTTTTTTGGAGCGGGTGTTCTATTAGCGCCTGTCTTTAATGTCTTTTCGCTTTTCTCTAGGAACTCGTTAGGTGTGACTTCGGTTTCATTATCAGAGATTGTTCAACGTTTTGGGCCATTTTTTGGCCTCTTATGGAAAAAGAGCGTCCATAATTTGCATCAATTCGGTGGTTGCTTCAAAAGCGCATGTGTCAGACTTGGTGTGAAATAGCCTTGAGAATTAGCTGCTTAAGAAGTGTAGTCTGGTGTGTTACTGCTTGAGGAAGCACATCCACGAATGCTGTCAGGACTCTTGGGGTTTCGGATTTTTCGCTTCTTTTGTCTAGTTTACCTTGTGCTCAGAAGTACTGGCTGACCTCGTGTCGGTATTTCCGCTGAACTGGACGCGATGTGTGAGAGAGTTGTCCGGTGGTGTGTTAGGACGATTATATTTGATGCGCCCGTCTTCGTTACAACATTGGCGCATCGCCGCACTCCCAGCTGTTCTCGCCATATATCCCGCGATGGTTGATGTCCGTTTCTGGGGTGTGACCAGTTCAGCGCCCGGATACTGACCCTGGTAATTGAGAGAGAGAGTCTGGAGTGTGGCTTTTTCGTCATTCACAATTTTTTTCATGGTTGAACCTCAGGAGATTCTTGAAGAGTATTTGCATTTGGATAAGTCTCTTGGTATTAATTAGGGAGGAGTGAAGCGGGCGCAGGAGACGTTGAAAGGAGTAGGCGCTGGAATAGGTAGAAGAAATGGGTTGCAAATTGATCTGGGGGCGGATTGCCGTCACTTGATAACGCTGATATCGAGCTGTCCTCTCATTCAGTCGTTCATATTTATTACTACGAAAATCTCGCTCAAATTCCCTAAGCGCTGCAGTAAACGGTATAATGTTTGGAATTGATTTTTTAATGTCATTAATTTCAGATTTAATAGTGAACGTGGTGTACGTGGTGGACGGGAAAGTGATCTTGTTTGGCGACGTGCGAACAATCCGAATTCTTCTGACAAGAAACAGCCATTAACGTCGTCGTCGTCGTCGTCAGAAAGCAGTAGTGCGGCGGCTGTCTCTTCCAAGCGCGGCTCCTGTTTCTTCCCGAACAAAGGTGGCCCAACAAACTGGTCGGCTATCAACTCGGAATTGAAGAGCAAACAGAAAATAGCCAAGGTTTGTTCGGGACACTGTTTTGTTATTCCAATGTTAAGTCCTTGGCAAATAATGCAGAAATACTGTAGGAATCAAGTATGGATGAAATAATTAGCAGGATACGCTTGAGATTACCACTGGTTTCTTTTTCAACAGAGCCATCAACCTGTGGAAACTGCGGTATTAAATTTCCACCCGATGATTTATGCTCTTCAAAGGCTAAAATTCCGCGAAAACCCTTTTATCATTTCGCTGATTATATTCATTTGTTGACGGTCGAAATAATATGAGATAGTAGTGTTTACTGTTTTCCTAGAAAGCTGTTAAGCTCGGTGTGAATCGCTGAATCTAAAGAGCTTCCCAGTCTCCCTCAGCAAAATAGTTCTCATGTTTTAGTTTGGGTAGAACTCGTTAATGACATAATTTGAAACATCTCATGGCTCCACTGGGAAAGCAGGTTCAAAAATCGATCCGACAAGGTTCTGCTGAGTCACTTGTATTTGACGCGTTGTTTTTCAAAATTGTAGCGGCTTTTTTATTCGTTCGCAAAGGAAGTTCTGTGGCAAGTGGCGCCACTTACCATACGCACGGCTTGGAGGCTCCATTCTGCACAGACTCTTGACCAAACAAGCCTTCCTTTATTCTAGGGTCACCTAATTGGATTCGTACTTGTCTCTGGTGATAAAACATCCTTGTATATCGGCTTGCCCACGCAAACGCTTGCGTACACCAAATTCCTTTGCGATTCTGTATAGCAGGAGAATATTTATTTATTTATTCATTTATTTATTCATTTATTTATTCATTTATTTATTTGTTTATTTATTTATACGTTCCATGAAGACGCGCCATTGAGTCCAGTATGCGAAATCAATGCAAACATAAAGAAAAAAAAGAAAGGCTGATCCAGGGAACCAGCAGTACCCATACGACTGAAAAGACAACCCTGAAGTATGTTCGAGACAAAAATGTCATGGGAGAAATGATCCTTGACCCATTGCGGACCGCGTGCTGCACATGGTGCAGCACGCCACCACGCGGAGAAGGACAGTAATCTTTTTTTTTTCAGCATTTTGTTAAGTTACAAACTCATCAGTTTACTTTTTTGGACACAGGATATATCACTTATTGGCATACTGGTTAAATTTTTGATAGGTCATCGGCCACTGATTAAACAGATGACAAAAACCTACGGAGGTGCAGCCATAACGGTGGTCCGCAGGGTTAAGGGAGGAGGAGGCCTAGGCCTGACTGAAGCAGCAATCGTTTGTTATCGGGAAATTACCTACACCAGTGCAATATGTAGAGCATTTGCAGAAAATTGGCGCTTCAATTTATTACTGTCATTTTGGTTGGGTCATATCGATTCACTCCGTGGCCAATAGAGCGTTGCGCAGTGTAGGTCTATTGAAGGCAGAGGTGAGACGTGGTAATAATTAGTATTGGAGGGTGTCAATTATGCGCTGCCAGAAGGTTCAACCTTGCTCGCGCATTTGGCTACATGTCCCGTTTTCGAGTAGGCTGTCCGCTTTCTGCGATGAAAAGCTTTAGCTATCGCTCGGTCAGACGTAGTCTTCTTTCAGGAAGAATGCTGGTCTGGGCTGAGAATTCCCCGTTCTGCAGTTTTCCTAAGAACAAAAACCCCCGTTAGCTGATTGTAGCGAGTTTTCTTCAGAAACATTCCGTGGATTGAATACCTGAGTACTGGTTTTGTCTCCCATAACATCAGCCAGTATATAAAGGTTGCTGTTGCATGTAGCACGTTTTACCACTCCATTTATTGGTACCAGCTTTTTTCCGCAACTTTTTTATTTCTTTAGTAATAAATGTCTTCATTGTTGTGTCGTACGTGTTTGGAAAATCAGTCATTTGTTATTTCAGGTTCGACCAACCCTTCAGGCACGAGTACCACCGTCAATGATGACGGTAGATGCGGTTTCCGCTAAAAACTCGGAATACGCGCAGTTGAGCGAATTCACCAGCCTTGACGTGCCGAAATCAGGTAGGGATCCATGTTCGCTAGAATTGTTGTTTGTATTCTTTCAAAGTAATAGATAATAAATTAATAGGATTAAGAGGCTCCACAAATAATATTTCGATTTTGGTGACGGCGGTCCAGTTTGGAAGCGTATTATGTTTTCAAACGTTGATTTTTATTGTTGTTATTAAAGATATCAAACGAGATGATGATACCGTAAGCGTGGCTGGCACGGTGTTCAACGAACCGTGGGATTCGAATGTGTGGGAGAATCTGCTCGACTTAGCAAGCCATGGTGATGAGGGCCTTTCGCCAAGGTCGAGACGTGAGTGATTTTTTTCGCCCAATTAGCACCATTTATCAGTGTTTTTCATAACAATGAGGTAGAAATTTTGGCGATCCAAAAGATAGCTCCTGTAACTCGGGAACAAAAGGCTTTGGCTTTTAGAGTAATTGCGTAAGCACTTACAACACCTCATGCTAAGCTGTTAAGATCCACTTGAATGCAGCGAAAAATCTTGATTCGCCCTCATGAAAGCTGCAGGCATCACTTCGTTATTTCATTTGATAGTTGGGGATATCTAATTGTAAGTCAGCGCAGCGCCTAACGAGGCTTCATCCCACATGCGCTTTCCGCAAGATCGAGCTTTGATTCGGATGTTCTTCATCATCAGCTGCTTCAAGCCCAAGTCCTGCTTTTTATTGAAGGAATCTTCCACGGAAAAAGCTCCGCCCTCATTACCACAGAAAACGATACCTTAAAGGAATCTTCCACGGAAAGAGTGATCATTTTGTCTTGTGTGTAGGATTAGTATTATCGAAACTAACGCTTATGTTCCGTTCTTTTTGCTATGCTCATGAGGCTAGGGGCCTAAGGTATCGTTTTTCTGTGGTAATGGAGGCGGAGCTTTTTCCGTGGAAGATTCCTTTAACCCTTTCGGCCCTGGCGGTGGCAATTGCCACCACCAATTCAAACGCTTGCATTTCCGCTGAAACAGCATGGTTTTTCTAATCCTGCTAGAGGTTGCTTCAGTCAACCTTCCCCTTCCTAATTATGAGCTAACCTGCCATTTCATTGTGTGTTGCTGTTAGTATTACAAGTATTTGTGTACAAGTGCAACAATGAATGGGCGCTGACCCCCGCAACCGGCCAAGTAAGTGTGACTTTTTCTTAAAATACTTGAAGTAGATCCATTCCTAAATCAAAATTATGGGTTATAATGTTATGCAAGATTATAAACTTTTTCGGCATAACTATGAAATTTCGAATTGTTTCGACATAAGCTTAAAAACTAAGAAGGTGGGCCAATTTTCAAAGCTTCTTAGTTTCTTTGTTTGTGATCGAATAGCTTCCAAATTTCGCCATAATGATACCTATATGCTCACAAGTAATAAACAATAGCTAGAAGAAAAATTTCTCCACGGGGAAAAATTCAGGTCCGAAAGGGTTAAGCATTTTGCAGTGTTAAAAGTTTACTTTTTAAAAAGCTAAGATGTAGAAGGCGGGATAAGGGAATAGCGGGAAAGCATCAGCTTTTTGTTAGGCGTGGTCCAGTCGGCTGAGGGATTGTCGTTGCAGGATTGTCTGATGCTATTCAAGAGGAAGACTCGGATTCTGACCGAACACCGGCAGGGTCGACACGAATGCACGAGTCGGAGGATGAATTAGATGATGACATGTGGGCATCCATGACTGCATCGTCGCGACGAATATTGCCCTCGGATCGAGTTACATGCAAAGCATGGGAGAATGACGATATCAGGTGCTTTGTCGTTCCTATTATAGTTGGATGTGCTTTGATGAATTCTTTTTGGTTCCAAGTTTTTATTTTTTTTACATGATGGGGCCCTAATATCAAGAGTGTAACACGAATTTGTGGCACAAAAAAGTAAGGGAGAAAACAATTAAACTGGCATAATGTAAGGTGTTGCAATCATGCTAAGAAATGAACGAGTAAGAATAACTGTTTTAGATGTTTCTCTCCAGTGGAAGTTGCTCACCACTGCTCTCTGTAAACATAAGTGTTAAATACGGCAGCAAAGCGAAAAAGCTTGTTTACAGTAGTTGTAGTTTGTAGTTTAGGAAAAAGGCGGAAGAAGCGCAGAGCTAGCCAAATCGCAGATCCCGCATGTGTTACTAGAGACAGACCCGATTAGAAGAGTTGAGCTTCTACCTTTGCTGTGTCAATTGTTGACATATACTTTGACAGCTGTTGCTGAGCAAGCGAGTGTTATCCAAATACTATAGTGTTCTGAATGAGGCTATCGGCGCCTGCGATGGGTCGGTCCTCGTATTCTGAATAGCCTACGTACCTTTTCTGAACAATATTCAATAGGGTAGAGCATTTTGAAGTTTCCAGTTTTTCATTTCCATGTTAAAGTTTTCATGTTGAAAAAATGGTATACTGCTTGTACTGCTTCGCTAGTAATCGCTGGGTCGTAGTAGCCGACAGTTTTGCATTTTGGGAAGTCTAAAAGGGCAAATTCATGTGTTAAAGGCAAAGAAGGCCGTGATTCTGTTTTTGTGACAGGCAGCTGAATTTCCTCATTAATTCGCACCTTTGAAACTTTTTTGCATATCAATAGTCTACGGGTTAGTCTGTGTTGTTTATGATTCGTCTATATTTATTTGATTTATTTTTCTATGTGTTTGAGTCGTTACTAATTTGTGGTTGCTTCAACGAATCAAGGCTTGCATACACAGTTCATCAGTTGCAGTAACTATGGGACAATCGACAGTCATCAGGATGGATCGTACACTGGAACACTGCGAAAAGCAGAACGACGTGCTCACACACCGCCTCATTCGATGCACTCGGCACGCTTTTGATTGATGTTTTCAAAATGTTTTATTTCAATCGTCATTTCAGCTTTCCACGAGCGATATCCCGATATTCGCATCAAATTGGTTCGCTGGACGATTTACCGCTATCGCTACCTGCTCTTTCGCCAAATCTGAATTCTGGGAGAAAAACGAGTCAAGCTGAGTCTAGCGCAGCGATTCAGAGCTATGTTGAGAGGTTTGTTAATCAGCTGTACGAATAGCATTCTCGGAAATACATAGTGAGAATTTAGGCTGGCCGAAGATGAGAGCACAGTTTTTGGTGCAACTCTAAAGCGATTCATAGAATGCACTGTACAAAGCGAAGAAGCGGATCCAAGTGTGGTTGTGCGAAATGTTCGACAATTCATCAACGGCATAAAGAACTATCTCGTCAAACATGGAGAGGGTTAGTGTTTTCTGTTCTTCGCCTCTGTCTACTTTCGCTTTTCCCTGTTCCTACGATCAAGAGCCAATTCCTTGCCCTCAATTTTGTGAATCTTGAGAATCCATTTGTAGGAAACGTGACATCTTCACGCGCTGCTTTCTTCATCTCATTAGCCAGATCACTGGTCATTAATTCTTGAAGTGAACTGGATCTTTGTTGTTCCCATAAGCAAACACAAACTTCAACATAGTGGCTATATCTAAGGCCCGAGGTACATCCCCGGCGACTGTAGCAGCAGCCGCAAATATCGTCGGGGATATATTCCCGGAGATCTTCGCGGTTCGCTGCATACGGGACTCAGGTCTGAAATGCAATTACGGCTGCACAATAATATAAACTTAAGCTCAACATAGAGTTGTACTTCAAATTTAAGAAGTTTGTGCGTAATGTTCATTTAGTTGGGTAATGAGGGGTTGGTGCCTGTATTGTGCTTGATTTTCGCAGTCAGTGAACCAATCACGAACCGTTCCTCCTACCTTTGCTCATCACGGAACCATGCTGCGCCTAATTTAACTGATGATTGGAACTGTTCCTATACATACACCACGCTTATGTCGTGCAGTTCTGTGCTTAATGACTCATACAGTGATCTGTAATGGATTACGTCTTACGTTGCGTATTTAAGGTGATCTTCATGGTCTTATCGATCAGGAAAGCTCTCATCTCAATGCGAACCAGATCCTGAACATTGACGCTATACTTGAAGCTGTGCTGCATAAATTACTGCTAAGTAAGTCGATATCTGTCAATTACTTTGAAGGGGCCTTTTTTCAAAGGCTTTTTGTGGTAAAGACAGGCACTCCAGTAGCTCATGTGCTCGGATCGAGTTTGAAAATGAGTGTGATTTCAGAACGAGTGAAACCTCATCTTTATCATGTAATGGTGAAGGATCACTCGAGGGCGGGTGGTTTGCAAGCGTTGTCCGCCAATATCGCCTATGTGCGGACTCTCAACCTTGCCGAGCTCGGGTTCTCCGATGCCGATCAGGTTTGTTTGGGACATCTCCCATATTTCGTATTGAAGTAGCTATTCGAGTAAAAATGTGCTGCAGGCGAATTAAGGATTGTTTATGTAGTAGTAGGAGTCGCTACAGTTGGTCGTTCACTTTATCAACTTTCCTTTTGCGAGCTGCTTCTTACTCGTGGTTTTATATTGCCTGAATAATGATGAAGCGATAAATGTAAAATTTTTTGGATTCCCAGGATGGCAGTTTCTTTCTAGAAATGCTTTGTTATTGAATGTCTTGTTGAGATCGTTTAAGGTTGTGCATGAAAGGGTTTTTACGCATCACAAGATCGCAAAGGTATGTTGATTCACTCCAGTCAACCAATCCTTCCCAAGATTTTGTCAACGCGTTGCTCTTTTGAGCGCATCCCAGAGCAGCTGGTGTTCTCCTAATCCCGCGAAAGGCGGTTTGTATTTTTAAGTGGCCCAAGGTCCAAATCGAAGTCAGTATTTCAAACTTGGTAACCCACATGGTAGCATTTCATTCATCTGTGGGATTTTCATTTTTTAGCAAAAAAAAATTCCCGAATCGCCTTGTTATATGAAAAAATGGGATAGCAGTTGTCGAAAACGCTTATTTCCGCTACTGGGCGTTCCATTTTCTATCTTTCTTTCTAAATGCAATTAAAGTTCTGGAAAAAAACCGAAATATAGTTTGCTAATACATAGGGAGCAGAAAAAGTGCTTACGAGCTGACCGGCGCAAAAAAACGTTACAGTGATACCCTTCAAGCTGATAATTTTTTTCTGGAGTCACTAGTAGTCATCAGTCATGGTAATGTTGGGCGACGATGATTTACTAGTGGCAAATTGGACTTGTTTCAACGCTCGCTGTCCAGGGTCACACCTGGAACTGAATCGCCCTGAGCCAAACAAGCCTTTCACTCCCCTGTCGTGAGGTCGGCTAATTGGCACCTAGTGTCAGAGGGCTGACTGGTATTCCGGCTGGCTCCAACTAATTGTATGTATGAGCTGACTCTGCGATGCGATTTTGAATAGAAATATAATAGGAAGTTAACCGCATCTCAAAAATGGTTTGACCAACGCTGGATGGTTTTGCCTTTTTACTGAGTCTACTAGTTTGGTTATGTGACGCATAGTGAATATTTTTAAGCTGGTCACGCCTTCGGCATCAGTAATGGAGCAAATCAAGAATTGCCTGAGGAAAATGCAACACCACTACTCGCCGTTGAAAAAGCTGGAAAATCTTCTCAGGTACTGAACTTTCTTTATTCTTAATAGACTGATAAACCAGTACCTATCTCAGAGCCATCAGCATCGTTTTGGGGATACAGTCAAAGGATGACGGAAAGGAGAGTCAGAAAATCATAGCTGCTGACGGTCAGTTTCTTCTCGGATCATTATAATCATTATAGTTTTCATGAAGTTGTAATAGATGACTGAATTAGAAGTTGTCCTTGTCCTTCTAATAGCAGCACAGTGTTTTCACTTGAAATATGATAGTATGAATTCGTTAGCTTTCACTGTGATAAAGGAAGCTCTGAAACTTAGCATTCTTCCTAAACCGCCTTATAGTTCTAATCAATGTACGCTGGTTCGAATTCCAGCTGTTTTAGATTTGGTTCGATGGTTGGTCTATATCTTGGCACGATCATCCACTGTTGGTTGTGAGGTGGAAGCGTGGTACATGTGGGAATTACTTCCTCAGCAGATGATTACTAAGGTACTTTGCGAACTACATATCCTGGTTTTGCCTCCTTTCGTTTTTAATTCTTACTACTTTAAGGGCGATGCTGCTTATTATTTGACTGCGCTCTTCTCGGCTATCCATATACTGAAAAGTATTGATGCTATCAAGAAGTTGGCTGAAAAGGATGAAGACATGGTGGCTAGCATGGTCAGTTTAGTCTTGCTCATCTGAAATTTTCCTTTCTGATCGATGCCAAGTTGCCCTTTACTGGCAATATTTCTCTCATACACACTGCTGATATTGCTTTCTGATTGTAGTTTTGGTGAAAAAAAAGAGGGTTGTTAGTGCTCACGATCAATCAATCTCGGCGTTTTCCTGTTAGTAGTTTTGTCAGAGCAAGTCAGTTAATGACTTTGTAGGTTCAAGTAGTTTTTGGACGAGTAGTCTCAAGAGTCTTCTGTCCTTGCAGGCTTTCAAAAAGGCAATTGCGCCGAAATGTCAGCCTAATAAATCGTTATCAACCGCCTCGATTTTAAGCTGAACTACACTGGTGTGCAAAACTTAAGGACGAGACAGATGAAGTATCATAACCTTTTGATAGCTTTGTGGACCGTTTAACGGTTCCTGTTAACTGCTTTCTTTAGTGCCCTGTGGCAGCTCTTTGTATGTGTGGTTAGGTTCCATAGAGTCATGTTACGCGCCAGTAACACGTCGTTGGAAAAGCTACGTTCGTCCCTAAGTTTTGCACACCAGTGTGTTCTGGATGCTACGCTGGTTCATGTTATTTTTTGCAGGATCTTTCTCGCCAGTTCTGTTCACCTTCACCTTCGTGCGCATCAGATGCTTTTGTCAAAGTGGCTATACCGGATGAGGTAGCGGGCTGTATTAGGTTCGTTATCAATCCTGCATCTGAATCGTCGATAATGTAATGTATGCTGTCCGTGATCGAAATTGACCAGTTCTTGCTTTATTGGTGTTGCTTCCAACAAATAACGTTGCATAATCATTTAGGAGGGGGAGGGAGGGGGGAGTGGAAACGTCTAGAAGAGTGCAGTTTGCAGTTTGCATATTTGCACATCTGGTGGACCTTTCATAAAGTTTCCGCCAAAATTGTGACAGCTGTCGAAGGATCTCCCCCTCTCCTTCGCAACATAAGCCCCCAACTTTCACAAGCACGACTCACTCTTCATCTCAAATAAGATCCCTTATCACCATTTCTACACACAACCATCCAGATGTGACCTCCGTAAAAATATTAAGTGTGGTTCCCGTCGTTGTCGTTGTCGTTGGGAGATGCATAGTTGACCCTGGTTTGCCTGAACACAAAGTGTCCCAATCTTGCTCGACGGAATTATCTGGACAGGGAGCTCAAAGATGCACACGAGGCTCCACCCAGCATCCGGGCTCCACTGATCACGTGGGGCTGGGCTCAGCACCAGGGGTCTCGTCTAGGTATTGAAATCAGAGGCGGGATCTGCTTTCACTCTCTAATCTCGCTGCCTGCCTATTTGAATCCTCCACAACTGATAGTGAATGTCCCAGTGTTTTCGATTTTTCCTCACCGTTTTTATTCTTCATCGGCGCACTCGCCTCTACTTTCGTTATCACCGAAGTACCCTGCTGTGTTTTCGATGGTTTCTCATCGTTTTTTATTCATTATCGGTCCTCTTCGCCTCTACTTTCTTTATTAGCGAAGTACCCTACTATTTTGATCACGGGGGAGGACTTTTATCTCTCCATGACTGCAATGTCTTAATTGTGTTAGTCCTTTTTTCAAATGTTTCCTTCTCGCAACTGGCTTTTCTTTAGTAGCGATTATGCTCACACCTTTCTCTGACCCTTCACTAAGCGTTGAACCTTCTTTTTAACGGTACGAAACCTTCGCGTCCATCTCTTTCACCCGGTTGCGACTACCATTGACTTGAAAGCAAGCAGATCTGTTGCAGTAATCTTGCTCCGTTCCCACTAGTGAATAATATGCTTTTGTTGTCATTCTTGAAGGCAGTGATTGACGTGAATCTTCAGATATGCGACATTTCCTGGCGTACCACAGATGACAACGGGCAAACTGTGCCGTGTGATTGCTCATCAACAAGGGATTACAAATCCTGAGGATCATGGGCTGTGAGTATTGAAGCTACAATGGACGATTTTAGTTATAAACTCAATACTGTAGCAAAAGGGGCACTGAGCAGCAAACCTCGATGACTTTCAACTGCTAAAGCTTTGATAAAAATGTATTGCAAAACTTCGAGTTAAACTGCTCAGCAAAATTATACATACGCCTATATTTTTTCCGAAAACTCTCCCTCAGAAGCTGTTTGAAAAATTCCCTATTGCATAATGTACTACGTATAAATGCAACTTTGCTCACCAATAGTAAGTTCAACTTTTGGAACATTGAACAAGTTTTTCTGCAATTTTTCGCGCTTCTCATTTTTGACCGGATAACCTTCTTCATTGCCCCATTTTTAGGTGATAGCCAAACTAAATCGCATTCGGAATTCATAAAAGGGCAAGAAAATAGTGAAGAAATTGTAAAGTAGACAAACTTCGTCGTTTGTCAATATTGTCAATTTGTGCCTTACCCTATATTCAAGGGGGGAGGGAGCAAAAAAAAGAATTTTGCCTATGTCGCACTTCGGCCTTTTTTTTCGCAGAGATTGCCGTCGTTGACGAGGTTCCTCAGCAAAGTATTCCCTAAAAGTCATTCTATAAGTAGACGTATTGACTACCTTCACCCTTTTCATAACCGTAAATTCTTCACCCTAAAGCTCCAACTTTAGTGAATCGATTCAATGTTGGATAGTATTTTATGGTTAGAGACATTGAGTCACTATGCAAATCCCCTCGGAACTAGCTTTCCAGTAAAGGTCGTTATGGTACGATCCTTCGAAGACCCCATTGAGCTCGACCAGTGCACCATGTTTCCAGGGCAAATTCTTCTGATGCCGTCCACGTAGGTGGCCACTATGAAGATTTTCTTATAGAATGAAATGTGCTCTTCAATACTAAGTTGGGACCATTTGGTTTGAGTTTTGTGGGGACAAAATGTCTTTATTGCCCCCCCCCCCGTATATATTATTTAAATGTATAATTTGAGGCTGTACTTAATAACGCCGTATTTTCAGATATTTGATAGTGAATGGCTATGAGTCATGCCTTTTGCCGCACGAGTGTCCCGATGCTATTCGTGACAATTTACGAGGCACCGGAAAACCGCATCTGTTTGCCTACAAACGCCATGACGCGAAGATCGGCTGGCCACGTCAAGTGATGTCCACGCCGGGTTAAGTGATCGTGGATGTCCCAAGTCTTCTCTTGTATTGTACAATAGAATTAGTCAAAATTAGTCGATGTTCACGGGTTCTACACGATATCCACTAGGAAAACAAAGTCGCATAGGAGCGCACTTGCGTTTCTTCACTTGCGATGGTGCTCTTGTTAAAGCTGCTGCTGGAGTCACTACATTGTCGATACTGGTGTTACAAAGCCGAGACGGTGCAGGTGTTTCGCGTTTGTTCTGTTGTTTCTATTTCCATGCTGATGTGTGCATCTATCCTCCTCGAGTTCTGAATATTGTTGTTTCACTCTAATCGATATCCATACGAAGTCTTTATCCTTTATCAATCTCTGAGAAAAAATCTCTTTCACTGCATTTTTCGCAAAGTTATTATAAATAGCTGCTGACTAGAAATAGTTTCTCCCAACTGTTTTCTTTTGACTTCTCTTTATTTTACGAGGAAAATCCAGATCTTTCAGATGTTTGTTACTAATGTACATAAGGAGCAGAGCCGATAACGGCTAAACCTCTTTGGATGTTGAATAAGTTTATGGGTGGCGCTGTTCATGTTATCGCGCATTCAATGAATAAGTTTTCTCCCTATATTATTGGTTTATTTCAGCTCTGTGCTTGATTAACTCGCGACGGTAATATCATGCAAAATTAAATTTTGACTTACTGAATGGTGGTCCATGATCATAAATATTTTGGATGTATGTATGTATGTCGTTTTTTTCCTCTCTTCATTTGCCTGTGAGTTTTGTTGATAATGGATGTTATTATGAGATGATAAGCGTGCTCGTCATATAGTGAATGTGTAGTGTATTTGTTGAAATGATGTAGATTTTTATTCTATCCCTGATGAAGCGTTGAAAATGCTGATAAAGAGGTCTTATAACGAAGTTGTCGTGTTTTTTGCGCCGTCATGCTGCGATAAGAACACTCGTTCTCATTCTCTTTTTTGGGATACGTTTTTTTTTCATTTCTTTTCGAACAACAGCTGTGAACAGTCTGAGTTTCATTTATTTGAAAAAAATCCGGTACCCGGCAAGAGGCCCGTCACGCACAAGAAGGCAGAGTAAGCGGACGAGTAGCAGCGCATTATCTGTGATGTAGGACGTACCATTGTACGCGCATTTTACGTGAATATATGCTATGCTGATTAAAGTACCAGAAAGCACTAAACTTTCGCTTTTTAAAGCTTCCTTCGCTTTCAAGTTCTCACAAAAGGAGAGTGATATTGCCTTTGAAGTGGCAAAAACTCGCATGAAAATTCCAGCGTCCTCGACGCAGACTCGACGAAATTTGAGAGACCCTATCTCTGTGGAAGGCTTTAGAGCAATTTCAATACTTTTGGTAACAAGAAATCCAGCTCTATCTAACCCTACCACAACTGCTCAAAAGGTTATGCAAGGGGAATGGCATCTTTCCAGCGAGGGTGTGGATTTTGATGGTTTGGAGCGGGGTTTTAGCAAATCTGACGAAGAGATCAACAACGCCTAAATTGAATCGGCCGTCGCTCCCTAAGCTTGATTTTCACATTGCTTGAGGGTCGTACCACGACCCTCATTTTATAGGGAGGTTGCATTGCTCCCATCACGTCCTCGACACGATTTTCACCCTAAACGAGAGTTCGAAAGCGTTTCGTGAAGTGGTCATGATTACGGTAAGACCCGTTAGAAGGCATGTCGTTGTGTGTATACGCATCCCGTTTATAAGGTGTTACCTCATAAGTGGAAGTAAGCGAATCGAGTGGCGTAAAAATACGCAGCGAAATGGAAGTACCGACGGCTGCCGGTTGGCAAAACTTATTAAAAAACACATGGAACATGTCACACAACATAACAATTTATTGAAGAGCCGAATGCTTCCGAGTTTTTATTTGGCTACCATGAGGCCACCTTTGGTGCAATGCATGCCATTTCTCTCTCTCCATCCATCGTCCTCATATGTCCTCTCGCCAACTTTCAACTGTAAAAGTTATGAAATGGTTGTAAATTACAGCACCATGCCCTTCTACGTGCTTCCATACTGCTACAGCGCGGGAGATGTCAGAACGAAAAGCAGGAAAAGATGCGAAGTCTAGTTTCCTCAATCTGACATCGCCCAAATGATCCTTTTCAACATTAGTTCAGAAAAGCAGGAACTTCAAGCTAGAACAAAGAGTCATCTTGTTGAAAGTAGTAAAAACGTGAAGGCGCTACATTACAGAGGCAAAATTCACTGGTGTGCAAAACTTAATGGACCGAAGTAACTTTTGCATGATATCTCAATGGTAGCTGAACCTAGGACGATGAAATTTGGCACATATATAGAAGAAAATGTTACGTACAAGGCAGAGGGCTACTGAAGAAACACGCAACTGGAAAAGACGTTTCTTTCCAAAGACCGTGACTGAAGCGGTTGATGGTAAAGCTACCCTATCCCATGGTAAACTTTCAGAAGAGAGGAGCTGGTTTTTGATGGGGTATATGAACACTACGGACTGCAAAGCATGCTCTGCTGCGTGCTTCCATACTGGCTACAAGGTTGTCATGAGTTCTTGTGGAGAAGCGTTCCATTCCTCGAAGACTGCGACTGTTTGGTGGACAATTACTGGCGCATGGAGAGGTGCTACGATCGTTTGCCTGAATGCGTGCCAACTGTTTTCATAGGATTTGTGTGAGGGGAAACGGAGAGGCTCAATTAATAGCCACAGATCCTCGCGCTCCCAGTTTTCCACGTAGATCGTTCTATGCGCTCGCACTGAAACGCACCCCGGAAAAGACGCACATAAACGAGGAGTACATCGTCCCAATAATGTTGATCAGAAAGTGTAACGCGATCATGAGTTGGGGATCAGTACGCCCCGACAACTTTATGCCTCCCCACATCATGTCGCATGGACTACCAAAACAATCATGTTAAACGATGGTCCTGGGTATTACACGTTCCTATTTTCCCCATATGCAGGTAAGTCCAGAATCACTACTCACATTCAGTTTGCTCTTGACCGGGAAGAATACGCGATTTTTCAATTCGGTGGTCCATCTCCAATGTCTCGGCACTTAGCAAATGTTCCCAGCCGATGGCGTGGATTTCAAGGATTACTATGTAGGTACTGTTGGTTGGATCAGAGAGATCATCCCTATGCGGTCACTGCGCCACTGTTCCGGACTGGGATTACATGCCTTACAATCCTGATAAATGTTTTTGCAACTGCAGCATGTGACTGACGTGGGTCCATTCTTGCCTGTTGCAAAACGTAGCAATCACCTGCTGTTGCGGTTGTTCGTGATCCACCACCTCCTCTTCTACGGGCAGCAGTGGCTGCGCCCACATTGCTCTCCATGCGCACAAAACAATGCTGTGAGCAACTCCTGGATCCAACCTGTAATACCTCTTCCTTCTTCCAGTTTCCCAGTGCTTCTTCCTCGCGTGGCCACCTCAGTGTGGCTTATGAAACTTGCTGTAATCAAGCGCACTACTACAGTCTACAGTAGTTTCTCCCTGATTAGTACATCTCTCTTGTCCTTGTCCCCCAGACCCCTTCTTCTTCGTGGCCAGTCTCACGAATGGAAGACCTTCAGCACCGTGCCCGCACAGTTTCATCCATTTCCATCGAATGTTTAAAGCATTATGCCACGCTATCCTTCTCGCTTTCACGTTTTGCATACCAGTGTGTTGTGGACCGAATTTCTACATTCCCAGCAAAATATTAGAAATATGCATACCTCCGTCCCTTTAGGAGTTCTGCAGCCAGTCGTTTCCACTTTCCCGTTCTTGCATTCATAATGCATATCAAAGTAAGTCTTAAATGTTTTTTTTTGAAAGAAGGATTCGCTCAAAGAGATCACAAATTTTAACGATTTGCAGCAGCTCAGCAGAGAGAGATGGACCGTCGGCATTGAGCGGATGTCAACGAGCAGACGGCGTTTCCCTCCGAAGCTCTGGGTCGTTTCTCATGGTGTTTTCTTCCTCCCCGCACCACTGGCCACCACGATCTTGCATTCTAATGAACTACCTTTTCATTGTAAACTCCGCATTCAAAGGAATCTTCCACGGAAAAAGCTCCGCCCTCATTACCACAGAAAACGATACCTTAAAGGAATCTTCCACGGAAAGAGTGATCATTTTGTCTTGTGTGTAGGATTAGTATTATCGAAACTAACGCTTATGTTCCGTTCTTTTTGCTATGCTCATGAGGCTAGGGGCCTAAGGCAGGGTGAAAATCGTGTCGAGTACGTGGTCGCAGAGGTACGACCCCCCCCCCCGAAATCGAGATCCTGGCACGACCCCCTCTAACAGAGCAAATTAATTCAATTAAAATAAATCCTGCAAAACAAAAAATCAAAAA